AAGAGTAAACCTAGAAAAAAACACAGAAAAGAGACAATCTGTTCAATAATCCGTACCTTTCACTGTTGATCGATTCCAAAGTAGGTTGCATTTGACTTCTGAATACAGATAGCAGAATTCTCGCAAGGCATGCTGATTACATTCATCTTCATCTTTCCTGCAGTCGTGTTCAGCGTCTAGTTGAACCAGTGAGTTGAACAGGCCATCTTGTCATATTCCATAATCACATGGTAAAGAACCGTTATTCCTTATGACGTCACACCAATCAATATCTATCTCACATAATTTTCCTTCGTAACCATGGCGACATTTGGAAATTCGTAATCGTTGACCTAAAAGTTCGGATACATTATTGAGAACTATACTGTATACCAAGGACGCATACCAACCTGAATCCCTCAAAGGGCGCCTCTGGCTGTCACATATACACGCGTAAAAATCTCACATCTTGTAGCAAGTCTGCCAACAAACCGTCAACAAGTTGTGTTCGCACTGCTTGTCCCAAGTTGTCAACAAGATTGGAATAAGCAGTTAACAACTTGTAACAAGATTTTTGATATTATCAGACTTGTTGCAAGGTTGTTCCAACGCCTCCGTTACATTGATGATATAACAATATTGTTCCAAGCTTGTGCCGTCAACATTGTAACATTCTTGCTATATCATGACTGCATCAAACTTGTTAGAACAATCTTGTAACAAGTCTGATAATGCCGTCAAGCTTGTTACAAGTTATTAACAGCTTGTTCCAATCTTGTTACAACAACTGGGGACAAGCAGTGCGAACACAACTTGTTGACAGCTTCTGAACAGATTTGTAACAACTTGTTTGCAGACCTGTAACAACTTGTGCGTTTTTACGTGTGTAACAATCATTGATCATATCAACAAGCTTGTTAGTTTGACGGTTATAATATAAGGTTGTAACGATATTGTTATATATCACGACTGTATCGAACTTGTTGCAACAACATGATAATATGAACAAGCTTGTTACCAGCTGTTAACGACTTCTAACAAGCTTGATGGCATTAACAGACCTGTTACAAAGTTGTTCTAACAAGTCTGATACAGTTATGATAAAACAAGGCTGACAAGGTTGTAACAATACTGATATATCAGCCTTGTTAGAACAACCTCGTAACAAGTCTGATAATTAATGCCATCAAACTTGTTACAAATTGCTAACCGCTTCCAACAAGTTTGTTGATATTATCGGACTTGTAGCAAAGTTGTTCGAATAAGTCTGATACAGATATCATATAACAATATTGTTACAACCTTATGTCGTCACCATTGTAACATTCTTGTTATATCATGAGTGTATCAGAGTTGTTAGAACAACCTTCTAACAAATCCGATAATTCCATCCAGCCTGTTACAAGTTGCCAACAGCTTGTAACTAGTTTGTTGATTTATCAGACTTGCAGCAAGATTTCTCCAACAAGTCCGATTCAGTCATGATATAACAACATTGTTACAACTTCGTGTCGTCAACCTTGTAACACTCTTGTTATATCATGACTCCATCAGACTTGTTAGAACAATTTTGTAACCAGCTTGTTGATATTATTAGACCCGTAGCAAGTTGTTAACAGCTGCTAACACGTTTATTGATATTACCAGACTTGTAGCAAGGTTGTTCCAACAAGCCGATACAGTCATGATATAACAATATTGTTACAACCTTGTGCCGTCAACCTTGTAACATTCTTGTTATATCATGACTGTGTCAGACTTGTTGGAACAACCTCGTAACAACTCTTATAATGCTTTCAAACTTGTTACAAGTTGTTCACAACTTGTAACAAGCTTGCTGACATTATCAGACTTGTAGCAAGGTTGTTCCAACAAGTCCAATACAGTCATGATATACAGCAATTTGCATTCAAGCACAAACCGCAAACATTTTCGCGCGTTTGTTTACGTTTGAAACAGGGCGTTTACCGTTGGAAACGGAAATGTTTCACTGCTCATGTGACGTGTTACAGTGCAAAGCCTAATTCAGTTATTTTTCATGTTTTGATGTGCTTTCGTGTACGTTTCAGTATTTCCAAGCTCACGATATTGTAAGAGCGACTAAACTTGTTTATATTCATACTTTTTGTGACTAGAACGTATTATCATGGGCTTGAAAATATTGAAACGTGCACGGAGGCACATCAAAACATGACAGTTGCGCCAAAAATAGCTTAAAGCTTTTCACTGTGACACGTCACATGAGCGGTGAATACAATTCAGTTTCCAACGGTAAACGCCCCGTTTCAAACGTAAAAAAGCGCGCGAAAATGTTTGCCGTTTGTGCTTGGATGCAAATTGCTGTAACAAGAATGTTACAAGGTTGACGAGACAAGGTTGTAGCAATATTCTTACATCATGACCGTATCGGACTTATAAGAAATTTGATAATAACATCAACCTTGCTACAAGTTAACAGCTTGTAACAAGCTTGTTGATATTACCAGACTTGGTAAGGTTGTTCCAATGGGTCCGATACAGTCATCATATGTATCAACGTTGTTAAAACTTCATATCGTCAACATTGTAACATACTTGTCATATCATGACTATCAGACTTGTTAGAACAACTTGTAGCAAGTCTGATAATGCCATCAACTTACACACGTAAAAATGCACAAGTTGTTACAGGTCTGCAAACAAGTTGTTACAAATCTGTTCACAAGTTGTGTTCGCACCGCTTGTTCCCAGTTGTTGTAACAAGTTTGGGACAAACTGTTAACAACTTGTAACAATGATATTTGTGGTGTTACTCTGAGTGTATATCCACACCGGGCGAGCTTGAAAAATATGGCCGGGCATATTTTTCAAGCTCGCCCGGTGTGGATATACACTCAGAGTAACACCACAAATATCATATTCACCTGAGTACACTACACCAACACAGAAAAAAAAAAAAAAACTTGTAACAAGCTTGATGGCACTATCAGACTTGTTGCAAGATTGTTCTCTAACAAGTCTGATACAGTCATGTTATAACAAAAATGTTACAAGGTGACGACACAAGGTTGTAACAATATTGTTATATCATGACTGCATCGGACTTGTTGGAACAACCTTGCAAAAGTCTGATAAAATCAACAAGGTTGTTACAAGTTGTTAACAGCTTGTTGACAACTTGGGACAAGCAGTGCAAACACAACTCGTTGACGACTTGTTGGCAGACTTGCTACAAGTTGTTTTCGCACTGCTTGTCACAAGTTGTCAACAAGTTTGGGACAAGCTGTTAACAATTTGTAACAACAAGTCTGATACAGTCATGATATAAGAATATTGCTACAACCTTGTCTCGTCAACCTTGTAACATTCTTGTTTATCATGATTGTATCAGACTTGTTAGAACAACCTTGTGACAAGTCTGATAATGCCATCAAGTTTGTTACAAGTTGTTAACAGCTTGATCCAAACTTGTTACAACAACTGGGAACAAGCAGTGCGAACACAACTTGTTGACAGCTTGTGAACATATTTGTAACAACTTCTTTGCGGACTTGTAAGAACTTGTGCGTTTTTACGTGTGTATTGCAGGTTGTTAATAGCTTGTAACAAGCTTGTTGATATTATCAGACTTGTAGCAAGATTGTTCTAACAAATCCGATGCAGTCATGATATTATCAGACTTGTACCAAGGTTGCAAATAAGTCCGATACAGTCATGATAAAACAATATTGTTACAACCTTGTATCGTAAACCTTGTAAAATTCTTGTAATACTGTTATTGTATCAGACTTGTTAGAACAATCTTGTAACAAGTTTGTCGATTTTATTAGACTTGTAAGCAAGGTTGTTCAAACAAGTCCGATAATGCCATCAAGCTTGTTACAAGTTGCTAACAGCTTGTAACAAGCTTATTGATATTACCAGACCTGTAGCAAGGTTGTTCGAACAAGTCCGATGCAGTCATCATATCTCAATGTTACAACCACGTGTCGTGAACCTTGTAACATTCTTGTTATATCATGACTGTATCAGACTTTTTAGAACAACCTCTCTTCTAATAATGTCATCAAGCTTGATACAAGTTGCTAACAGCGTCTAACAAGTTTGTCGATTTTATTAGACTTGTAAGCAAGGTTGTTCCAACAAGTCCGATGCAGTCATGATATTATCAGACCTGTATCAAGGTTGTGAATAGCCTGCGAACAGGCTCTCAAGCTGTATTGAGAGCCTGCATGGATGACTAATGAATTTGAATATCTGCGTCTCAAATCGTGACGCGAAATTCTCATTGGTCAGATGCTATAATTTATATTATTCCGCTGAGCTCTATATATGTCAACTGCTAAGCACTATGCATAAAAAACACATTAACTGATCAAATTGGTCTTGGCCATCTTATCTCAAAGCACGAAATGTTCTGTTTTGAGAAAACAGTATTTAAAACATTTAAACTTTTGCTTCGATATCTTATATTTCGAAAAACAGTATAAACTGTACGGTCTAAATTTAGTTTGCATGGTCTAAATTTAGTTTGCACGAAAGTTGTAAACAACACCATATAAGGATAGACATTCCATATTTGGAAAAACGAACGTTACGGGGCAGATATTCAAATTGATTAGTCATCGATGCAGGTTCTCAATTCAGCTTGAGAGCCTGTTCGCAGGCTAGGTTGTGAACAAGTTCAGACGTATTAGAACAACCTTGTAACAAGTCTGATAGTGCCATCAAGCTTGTCACAAGTTGTTTGCAGTTTGTAACAATTAAGCTTGTCGATATAACAGACTTGTAGCAAGGTTGTTCCAACAAACCCGATACAGTCATGATATTATTTAACAATATCGTTACTATACCTTATATCGTTAATCTTGTAACATAATAATAATAATAATAATAAATGGTTTATTCACGTATCTTGGCATTAATACAATGAATTATGATATGTTTACATAAATTCAATAAATTATCTAAAATATTAAAATCTATATATAATATATAACTAAAATATATATATATATATATATAATATACAACTAATTAAACTATCATTGAAGTTTGTTCCTTAACTCAAAGCACATTGCTGGAATAAAACTATTTTTGTATCTATTAGTACGACACTTTGGCAGAGACAAACAGTCCTTATTACGCAAAGTCCGTCCGTGCGCGGCCACCCGTGTTGGTGGCAGAAGGTGGTTCAGTCGGTTGTTGGGTTTAGAAATCTTCTCAAAGGTTTTCGTACACAAATCGTGTCTCCTAGTGTCTACGCGAGGGATTTGGGCTATTTGGAGTGCGTCGATATAATGCAGACCTGGGTATAATACACGCAAGGCACGCTTCTGAACATGTTCAATCTTGTTTCAAAGATAATTTGGGAGGCTCGTATGCCAAACTGTGCATGCGTACTCTAGGACTGAACGTACCAGGGCAATGAAAACTGGCAGCAGGTCAGCCGATGGAATGCCACTTCTTCGCAATATGCGCAAAATGTACAGGCGCTTAGAAGCTTTCTTCACGAGAATGTTGACATTATCATTCTTGTTATATTATGACTGTATCAGACTTGTTAGAAAAATCTTGTAACAACCCTGTTCATATTATCAGACTTCTACCAAGGTTCTTCGAACAAGTCCGATGCAGTCATGATATCTCATTATTGTTACTACCTAATTTTGCCATCAACCTTGTAATATTCTTGCTATATCATGACTGTATCAGACTTGTTAGAACAACCTTGTCACAAGTCCGATAATTCCATAAACTACACACGTAAAAACGAACAAGTTGTTACAGGTCTGCAAACAACTTGTTATAAATCTGTTCACAAGCTGTCAACAAATTGTGTTCGCGCTGCTTGTTCCCAGTTGTTGTAACAAGTTTGGAACAAGCTGTTAACAACTTGTAACAAGCTTGATGGCATTATCAGACTTGTTACAAGGTTGTTTTAACAAGTCTGATACAGTCTTGATATAACAAGAATGTTACAAGGGTGATGACACAAGGTTGTAACAATATTGTTATATCATGACTGTATCGGACTTGTTGTAACAACCTTGCAACAAGTCTGATAATATCAACAAGGTTGTACGTTACAAGTTGTTAACAGCTTGTTCCAAACTTGTTGACAACTTGGGACAAGCAGTGCGAACACAACTTGCTGACAACTTGTTGGCAGACTTGCTACAAGTTTTTGCGTGTAAGGTGTTTACATGTTGCTAACAGCTTGTAACAAGTTTGTTGATATTATCAGATTTGAAGCAAGATCAATGTAAAAAAAAAATTCCGAAAAGAAAAGAGATCTTGAGAATACAATATATGATTCAAAACAAGATGGAAGTAGAGACTATAAATTTTCGACTTTATTTCAAAGTCATCTTCATTCTGTCAACTTTGCTATAAGGTTGTTCGAACAAATCCGATGCAGTTATGATATTATGAGATATGTACCACGGTTGCGAGCAAGTCCGATACAGTCATTATAAAACAATATTGTTACAACCTTACGTCGTCAACCTTGTAATTAACATACTTGTTAAATAATGACTGTATCAGACTTGTAACAAGATTGATGGCATCATCAGACTTGTGACAAGGTTGTTCTAACAAGTCATGATATACAGTAACAAGTACTTGTTATATGATGACTGTATCAGACTTGTTGGAACAACATTGTCACAAGTCTAATAATATCAACAAACTTGTTACTAGCTGTTATCAACTTGTAACAAGCTTGATGGCATTATCAGACTTGTGACAAGGTCATTCTAACAAGTGCAATACAGTCATCATATAACAAGAATGATGCAAGGTTGACGAGACAAGGTTGTAGCAATATTCTTATGTTAAGAATGTATTGGACTTGTTGGAACAACCTTACAACAAGTCTGATAATGCCATCAAGGTTCTTACAAGTTGCTTACAGCTTGTAACAAGCTTGTTGTTACTATCAGACTTGTAGCATCATCGGACTTGTGACGAGGATGTTCGAAAAAGTCAAATACAGTCATGATACAGTATAACAATGCTGTTACAACCTTATGTCATCAACCTTGTAACAATCTTGCTATATCATGACTGTATCAGACTTGTTAAGAACAACCTCGTCACAAGTCCGATAATGCCATCAAGCTTGTTACGAGTCATTAACAGCTTGTCACAAATTTGTTAATAATATCAGACGTGTAGCAAGGTTGTTCCAACAACTCCGATACAGTCATGACGATATATAACAAGAATGTTACAACCTTGCGTCATCAACCTTGTAACATACTTGTTATATCATGATTGTATCAGACTTGTTAGAACAATTTTGCTACAAGTCTGATAATACTGTATCAACAACCTTGCCACATGCTGTTAGCAACTTGTAACAAGCTTGATGACATTATCAAACTTGTGATACGGTTGTTCTAACAAGTCCAATACAGTCATGATATAACAAGAATGTTACAAGGTTGACGAGACAAGGTTGTAGCAATATTCTTATATTATGACTGTATCAGACTTGTTGGTAACAAGCTTGTTGATATTATCAGACTTGTAACAAGGTTGTTCTAACAAGTGCAATACATCATGATATAACAATATTGTTACAACCAAGTTGTTGTCAACCCTGTAACATTCTTGTTACACTGTATACATGCGAAAAAATCTCACAGCTTGTATAGTAGCAAGTCTGGCAACAGGTCGTCAACAAGTTGCGTTCGCACGGCTTGTCCAAAATTGTCAACAAGTTTGGAACGAGCTGTTAACAACTTGTAACAAGATTGTTGATATCATCAGACTTGTTTCAAGGTTGCTCTAACAAGTCCGATACAGTCATGATATAACAATATGGTGACAGTTACAACCTTGTGTTGTCACATTCTTGTTATATCAAGACTGTATCAGATTTGTTAGAACAACCTTGTAACAAGTCTGATAATGCCATGTAGCTTGTCGCAAGTTGTTAACAGCTTGTTCCAATCTTGTTACAACAACTGGGAACAAGCAAATGCAAACAAAACTTGTCGACAGCTTGTGAACAGATTTGTAACAACTTGTTTGCAGACCTAGCTGTAACAACTTGCATGTTTCTATGTATGTTTCTGTGTGTTTATCAGGACTGTATCAGAGTCAGACATGTTAAAACAACCTTGTAACAAGTCCGATAATATCATCAAGCTTGTTACAAGTTGCTAACAGTTTGTAACAAGCTTGTTGATATTATCAGACTTGTAGCAAGGTTGTTCGGACAAGTCCAGTATATTGTCAACATTCTTGTTATATCGTGACTGTATCGGACTTGTTAGAACAACAATGCTACAGGTCTGATAATACCAACAAACTTGTTACAAGCTGTTGGCAACTTGTAACAAGCTTGATGGCATTATCAAACGTTGCTCGATTGCAGTGACAGAATAATATGAAACTTGTTACAAGTCGTTAACAACTTGTAACAAAAACGTTAATACTATCAGACTTGCAGCAAAGTTGATGGAACAAGTCCGATAAATTATGCCATCACGCTCAATACAAAACAAGCCTACTTGCTACAAGTCTGGTAATATCAACAGTTAACAACTTGTAGCAAGCTTGATGGCATTACCAGACTTGTAGCAAGTTCTTCCAACAAGTGTTATCACAAAAGTATTGTCACAGTATAAACATGGTGACATGCATTGAATAATGCATTGACAGGATTAATTAAGGAATAGTCATGTCAGGGCAGTGCATTTGGTATTAAACTGTATATACATAAAAATCTCGGCAAATGCCAATAAAAATCACCTAAAATTTTATAATACAACAATATTATACTCACAATGATTAAGGTCTTGCTATTTTTGGACGAGATCGGGATTATATTCAACAAATATGGACAAAATAAAACCAATTCTGACTTCTTCAAATTTCTATTTTCCCACGTTTATTAGTTGCTGGGGCACCTGTGCCAGCAACTATAGGTTTCGGGTGAAATTGGTCTCCTTCTCCTTCTCCATGGATAGTCACAAAATGGAAATTCCCACTGATCTATATACGAAGCAATACGTGCATACATTTTCGCTATTTTAACGGTCTTAAAGTCTTCGTAAGTGTATAAAGTGAACGTCAAATTGTTCTT